TACCCGCTGAGGGAGCAGCGAGGCTGGGAGGCCCGAGGGGAGAACCACCCACCCACACACACACACACATACCTGTTAACCCACACACATGGAAGAGAATTTGTGTTTTCCATTAATTACAGCAGAAACAACATGGAGTCTGGTGGTGAGATGTTGTCCAGAATAAAGACTCAATACAACAGTTTCACCTGTTGATCCCACGAGGCAGTGAGCTACCGTTCACATCAGCAGCTACAACAGTTAGCGCCGGCTCCTTCCTTTAAAAGGTCAACAACGAAGTCAAATGATTGCCTTGTTAAAACAGAAGAATGTTCCACGTTAGAGCTTCTCTCGATGTGTCCCTTTGAAAACAGGCAGAGAAGTGGCTAATAAGTAGGAGAGGAGACTTTGTGGACCAGAAAGGTTGCAGGTTTAAACCCTCAGCAGCTGATCTGCCCTTCTGAAGTGCTCTTGAGCAGCACACTCATCTTCGTGCAGGCGGGTTGCTGGTATTGGTTGTTTGAATTGACTGTTGACACGTCAGGTGAGTGAAACACCCTGAGACCTGATGTAGAAACCTGATGTAGGCTCCAGCTAAATACATACAAATATATTCCAGTTTTCATGCTCTCACATGATGGTTAGCTGAACTTCTGTAGGTGTTGGGAGCTTGTGACGGGCACCTAATAGGTTGATGAATCAAGAAGATGACCAGTAGTTTAATAAATAATGACAATAACCATTACGTTCGCTGCATTATAGAGACGCTGCACCACAACAACTTCACCAGCGAGACCCAAAGCTGCACTTTTAAAGATACCAGAAGAAATAAAGCACTTTATATTGAGAAGGAGCCAAAACATAGAAGATTAAACACAATAGAGTGTGTTTATGTTAATAATTATAAGTATTAAAGTATCATAAAAAGAGATATCAGCACTAGAAAAGCACAAAAGATGTGTAACAAGTCAGTAAAAACTCATCACAGACAAACTGAATATTAATATTTGGATATTTTAGAGAGCAAACAACAAACACAGTTTAATTAAACTTAATCCTGAGCAGCAAAGATTAACTGCAAGTCCCACTGAACATAAACTATGAATATCATAAAATATCACACTGCAGGAAATAGTGTGAATATTGTAAGAAAACCTCAGGAGAGTAAATATTATAATATAAATATATTCTATAAATATTACTGCCTTAAAGATACATTAAATAAACATTATATATATATATATATATATAAATATATATTTTACAGACGATTAAACACATTAAAGTCAGTTGTATGTGTCGCATACACACAGCCGCATTATTGTACCGATTGTTAAACACAACATGAAGCACAGAGGCTGTTGGTGGGGCTCGTTCTGTCAGAACGTGTAAATGTGAGAGTGGTCTGGTGGACGTGGAGCGTCACCGTGCTGTGCGGCGCGAGAGCGTGCAGCGTTAATTCCGATCAGCGCTAACGTGAAGTGACTCTCACCCTCAATCAACAGGGCTGAGAAACGAAAGAGTGCAAAAGAGTGCAACGTGTAATTCGCGTGTGAACTTACCGGGGTGAGCGGCTCCAGCGGTGCGGACTCTCATGTACCGGAACCTCCGTTAAAAACGTCCAATTTAACGAGAAAACTAAGAGGTACTGAGTCCGTGTGACGCCGGTTGGGCATCCACAAGCAGCGCGCGCGCTACGCAGCCGAATGAAACACACTACTGACACCGTGCGTGCTTGAGGGAGGGAGAGAGAACCAAGGCGGTGTACGCATGCGTGATCTCTCTTTTTACGACTTCCAGATCACACACGCACACACACCTTGTGTGTAGTTCAATTGACATTAAAGACGTGATGTGTGTGTGTATCTGTGTGTGCGTGGCCCAGATAAGCTCTACCAGCCCCACCCTTGGCAAAATAACAGTCAGTCTTCCCTCCTCACACACAAACACAGACACACGCACACACGCGCACACACGCACACACGCACACACACGCGCACACGGACAGTCAACAAGTTAATCAACACTTTTCACTACATTTGGGTCCAAAGTTGAACCAGTGAAGGAAGTAGAGTCTTTGTTGTGACAGACTATTCTTTTGTTCTAATGTTTGGGAAAACACACGCACACGCACACGCACGCACACAGGAATCAGGTTGGTGTGTGTGTGTGTTGCCCGGTGAATAATTGCCTCTCTTTAGAGCAATCAGAGCAACACAGCAACAAACAGAAAAAGACTCTTATTCTGAAATCAGCCCATTTAAAAGGAAGCAACACATTCACACTGAATACTGATGAAGACTGTGTTGAGTGTATTTTATTTACAGCTGAACAAATACTAAATGATACTACATCCCCTATATGTGTGTTTCAATGTTTGTCTTGATGTTGTTTATTATTAATAAGTAAATAGATTTTATACACTTTAACTTGAAAGGAATCCAGTTCCAAGATTTCTGACCAAGTAAAAAGTACTAAAACTATTAAAAAATACTACCTTTCAAGGAAAAGTACTGCAATTAAAATCTTACTTAAATAAAAGCTGATTATTTTCTTCATTAGTGTATTATTTTGTTTGTACCACATATGATAATTATTACTCATGCAATTTAAATTTCTTTTAAATCACTCCTTAAAACACATTTTTACAGACTGGCTTTTATGTGATGTCGTCGCTTTTCTGTTTTATTTTTATTTTACTAAATTATTTTAAAACATTAAAATCCATCTTTACTGCCAAAGAAAGTGAGAAAAGCAAAGTGAAGACGACTGTGGAGAGGAAGGTAAAAACCAAACTGTGTTTTTGGGAAGCACCCGAAATACTGAAGATTCAATTCTAGTAAGTTGGTTTTGTTGAGACAAAGAAAAAGACAGACATAGTTTTGCTTTCATTATATTTATTTTGCAGTTACATACAAACTTTTACAACAAGATTAAAACAGTTTAAGTACATTTTGGTCCTTTTTTTGTAATTTATACTTAAAAAAAAAAAAGAAGATTCCCCTTTAACCCTTTATTTAGATAGAAGGTGTTGTTCTGAGAGGATTTCTTGAAATGTTTGTTACGAGCATGAGATCAGTCTGTTGGAGGAAAGAACAGCGACACTGAATCACAACAACAACGGCGGAATTCCCCTTAAGGACGATATTCAATTCAGGTCAGGTCAGTTTTTTAAGGTGAGGTTTTGGAGACATTATCGCACAAACCGCACCAACAGTCGTTGCATAGTTGTCGTCGGGTCTGAGGTACGATGACACAAACAAAAACACATTCACACATGTTAACTAAACGGTGTGAAAGGAGTCGATTCATTATTCAGTATAATAGGAAACATTCAAGGCCGACGATGCTTCGGATAGAGTGCAAAGAGTGCAAAGGAAACTCAGAAAGTGGGCATAATAACAGCAACATTTTAATTCAACACTGCCTTAAAATTCACCACAAATCAAAGGTGTTTCTGTTATTTTGTCCACCACATGGTCATCAGGATGAACAGCAGAGCCTGCAAACAATTTGGTCTCAATCAGAAGGAAATAAACAACAACAAAAGGCAGCACATGTATTCAGTCTTTTAAACTAAACTAAATAGAAATCTCTAATTCAGGGCTAACGTTCGACACAATTGCATAGTGTGAAAAAGTGATATATACGTATATTGGTTTTAAACTTCAACGATGGCTAATAATTCCGCTTTCAGTAGCCTTTCTTTACAAATAAACAAGGAAATACGTGAAAGAAAATGGTACATTTCTAGAAAATGAATGCACGAAACTGGCCACTTATTTGGTTTCTTACTGTGAAGCTGTGTGATTAAATAATTAAAAGTAAACTAAAATGGAACTGGAGTACATTGAGAAGTACAAACGTGTTGGACGCTATTTTAGATGAGTGGATCCAAAAACGTATCGGAAGTTGTGGTTGAGGTTTAAACTTAAAAAGATCTCACATTGTTAGATCGGACAGACAAGAAAAAAACAATAGAACTTTGGCTTCTGTTAAAACGTTGCCTGAAAAATCGTCTACAACCAACTTTTCTTCACCAACAAACGAGGCAACATCGTCGACATACTGCAACATTATCTTGGCTAGACGCAAATGATTGATCTCTTTACGTTGTTGACCATAAACCAACAAAACAAGTCCTGCTGAAACCAAATCTGTGGCTGTTAAGTTAAGTTGACAGACGACCATCAATCAACCATCCAAATGTTCATGTGACAGCCAGTAAATAAACACTAAAACTTTGGCTAATGATGAAACGTTGCCTTAAATATTAACGACAACAACCACTGTCTTTACCAACGAGCAAGGCAACATCATCAGCATACTGCAATATTATTTTGTCCTGTCACAAATTATTGTTCTCTACACATTGTTGAGCATCTTTTTATGTAAACCAGAGGAGCAAACGACCATATCAATCAACAAGACTAAAACTAAATCTGTGTCTGGTAAGTTAAGTTGACAGATGGCCACCAATAAACCATCCAAATCTTCCCATAAACGTAAATGGTTACGGATGAAACATTGCCTGAAAGATTGGCTACAACCAACTTTTCATAACCAACGAACAAGGCAACATCATCAGCATACTGACACACGCTTATGGTTTGTCACAACTTATTGGTCTCAAGAGGTTGTTGAGTTTCTTTCATTGTAAACCAGAGGAGGAAACGAGCAGCAACCAACCAGAGAGGTGGTGAGACTAAATCTGTGGTAAGTTAAGTTGACAGATGACCATCAATCAAATGTCCAAATCTTTCCACGAGGAGTTGAGGTTGGACAAAGTTTCATCAAATCTGAATCCAGTTTCAAATCCGTTCATCAAATTTAATTTGGGTTCAGCATTTGTAACAAAGGTTTAAAGTTACAAAAACATTTTGTTGGCTTTGTGACGCCACAGTACTACAATACTAAGATGTGCTTCTTTTACCTCACAAATAAATCTCAACAAACACTGGCTTGCAGACAACACATTAACAAGAAAACAAAATAAGTTTACTTCATAACTTCCGGCATCATCTTTAATTAAACACAGCTTCATATCATCTGGCAACCGTTTGTAATTTTAACCACTAAGAGAGACGACGGCGCTGGCTTAAAAATGAGAAGCTTATTAAAAAAAGAACGAGAAGAGACAAAAGATTCATTGTGAGTCCAGGTATTTGGTTGTAGTTGAGGACCCAGATCCAAAAACAAAACGGCCTATCGGAGGTTACAGGAGTGGTGGATTTCTGCCGCTAAAGGAAAAGAGAAGCTGTTTTCCAGCAGTGGTGTTGAGCCACTTCTAGTCACTCTGAGTTTCTGAGTGCAGCGGCTGAGGATTTTTACAAAGTTCAAAGAAAGGCTTAGTGCCTCTCAGAGGATTATGGATTTACTCCCCAACACACTGAGACAGAGGCAAGAAATCCAGTAGGGGTGTATGCGTCTCTGTTAAACAGGTCACAAGAACTATACGTCTGTGATTGTAAAGTAAAGAGAGATCACTAGTGTTCTGGATATCAAAATAAGACCTGGAGTGTTGAAATTCCACCTTTTCTAAGCAGGAGACCAACAACATCCAAGATAATTAACTTCCCTCTAAACCCTCGAACTCACTCAGTGTTCCAGAGGTTAGAAATCCATCCCAACCCCACAAGCTCTGCTATAGATAAACTACCTACCTATCGCAAATAGTCATTTCAATCGCGTGCATTTCTAGTCCGTTAATCCCCAAAACATCCGTTATGTAGTTGTATCAACTCTTCTCCAGCCAGGAGGGGGCGTCCACACCGGGGTTGTTCTGGTGTTTGGCTGCCCGCCGGATGTTTTGCTGCAGGAAGCTGTGACACGATAAACCGTGAGCGGCCATGGAGCTGTGGAGCAGCCACAGGTGTTTGTGAAGGACTTTCACCTGCAGACGGAAAGTCAACGTCAAATATTAAATATCAACCCCATGATGTCATTTTACAATAACAAACGTTCAATTTGCAGGTTCCTCTCACCTTGTTCTCCTCCAGCAGCTTGACTTTGACGGACAGGTCCTCTCTGATCCTCTGGTACCTGTCCCTCTGGCTCTGGAAGTCTCTCTGGGCCAGCTCCAGTTTGGGCAGAGTGACGGCGTCTCGGGGTCCCAGGTTCAGCTCCTCCAGGTCCACTCGGTATGCGTCGTACTCGATCCTGAGAGAAGTTAAGAGAAGCTTAGATGCATGTTTTACATGTGCAAAGTCAGATAATCATCCAGCTCATACTGGTTTCTTGTGGCAGTTGTTTAGCGTCTCTTTACTGGTCTAAGAACCAGTGATTGTGAACCAAAGATCTACAGGTAACAGCTGAATTTAAAGTTCAAGACAATTTCGTACATTTCCCAGAATGCCTTACAATGTCGTCCCTCATGCTGCGTTCATATCATATGGGACAAACTATAACAAAATGAAACATCCCCATGTTTATATCTTCTTCTAATTCAGCTTGTGATATCCCTACATTTCCTAGAATGCCTTGCTGCTTTCTGAAGCCCCAAACCTTCCTTGTGCTCGGTGTGGTTTACTTCTTCATATGATTTCTCCATGTTTGACAGTCCAATGATGATAAACACACGTGTGACTCATCCGACAGGAAACAGGAAGTGTGTTTCCACCCACCTGGCGGCCTCGTACTGCTTGGCGCTGATCATGGTGTCCTCCATGGTTTTGTTGACCAGAGTGTTCATGTCGGACGTGAAGGCGTTGACGGACGCCGTCAAAGTGTCGCTGCTCTTCGACAGAAACTTCTGAGTGTCTGCGTTCACGCCGAACTCCACCTGACAGGAAGAGAGAGACACCAGCTGACTCATGGCGGCCTGGTGTCTGAAGCTGTGCTAAGATGCTACAAGCTAACCCTCGGGGGAGGGGTTTATCGAACGGTTGCAGCAGCATTATTAGCGAGCGGTGTTGATGGTAATCGGACTCACATGCAGCGTCGGCGTCTTGAGGCTGAGCTCGGCAAAGGTGTCCCCCAGGGTCTTCTGGGTAACCGAGAACTGAGCGAGCTGATTGGCCAGCGTCTTGGCCAGCTTGGTCATGCTGTCGTAGCGCTGCCGGTCGTCTTTGAGCAGCTCGAGGCGACGCTCCAGGTCCAGGTCCACCGTACGGGACCCCTGACCCAGCTTCTCCGACAGAGCCTGTCGAGTGCACTGCAGGAGAGTGAGAGAGTGAGAGAGAGAGAGAGAGAGAGAGAGAGAGAGAGAGAGAGAGAGCGTCGTTATCGATCGATCTGATCTGGTTATTGATCACCTGACAGTCTGGATCCCTCTCACCTTGTAGGTGGTGATGCTCCACTTGCAGACTCTCTTTAGCTTCTCGCTGGCCGGGTTCTTGGCGTTGCCTTGAACCACCACAGGTCCTGGTTTCTGTGACGTTGCTGGAAGGCCTGGAGCCTCAGCTGGACAGGAAGTGACATCGCCGTCTGTATGGTTGCAGTTACTGTTTGCTTCCTGTTATAAAATAAATATATTAAAAAAAAGGTGCAGAAGGAGGTCAGATGCTTGTTTTAGTCCCACAGGTGAGTCACGGTTCTGGGTTGATGGAGTAACGGTTACAGGGCGTCCAATCAGCTGCAAGACGTCGAGGTAATTAACAACAGAGCAGCTCGTGATTGGAGGGTTTAAAATCATGACATCACCCAGAGATGTTGGACACATCAATATATCTATCAAACCACACGTCAGCAGTTTCCTACAGCTGTAGGAACCCAAAGTAAACAGATTTTACTTTAATATAATGGTAATAAACGGATAACAAGGATGCAGGAACAACTCAATAATGATGCTGAGTTGTAAACAGAATTCATGGTTTGTTCGGTCTGTCCGCAAAACAACTTTTAAAATGCTTGTTATCTGAATGGAGCTCTTTGTTTTGTGTTAGTAGTGTTTTTTATAGTATTTTGTGTCTCTTAGGTATTTATTAATTGGACTTTTGTGAGTATTGTGTTCTGTGGAAGCCACATGTATGCGTGTCCATTATAAACTCAGAGCTCTGTTTTGGATCAAACCCAAACTTGAGGACCAGTGAACTTCACTTTAACTCATTTTCTCCCAGTTGAATTAAAGGCTGGAGAAGCTGGTTTTGACGGCGAGGTTGCAGGTTCAAATCCCGCTCTTCCTCCCCCGTCTGCTGCTGCCCACAATCACCTCAACAGACGATCCGATGTGCACGCAAACAAAGAACACGCTGCACATTTTCCAACTGTGTTTGAAAGCAGCCTCGGTTCCTAGAACAGTGAACCGACAGTAGAGAGGTCAGAGGTCAGGAAATCAAAGCGCCGTGACGACACATCGGAAGGATCACCGTGGGAACCCGGAGCTTATCGGGCGGCCAATCAGAACCCAGATCAAAAGGTTGTGAGGTTGCCACGGAGATGATGGCTCCCTGCCGTGATTGGCAGCCAGCAGAGGAGGTCAGAGGTCACCGGAACACTCGAGAGTCAGGAAATGGTCACCTGACGCAGATGAGAGGTAACGACGCGCGCGCACACACACGCACACGCGCACACACACACACACACACACACACACACACACACACACACACACAC